TTTTTCTACTTTCAGCCATTGACTCTACTAAGGGCAGGGTAGGACCTGCGCTTATTCAGCTGGAGTATTACTGAGCTCTTTCATATAGGGCAATGGCTCATAGTTTTTGGACAAATTTTTCCTTACTCAAAAGTCCTTTCCTTTCTTAAGTCATTCCATTTTATTAGCCTGTTTTCAAGCACCACACTCCTTTGGAACTATTGCATAGAAGAATAGCTAGAGACAAAGGTGTGAATACAATCCTTTCCCTGAAGACTCATTCACTGTCTTGCTAGCCTCTTCATATGTGAACAAGGTTTCACAAACGCCTACCCTTTCTAAGGTGAGGAATATCTATTTTCCATCTGAAGATTCTAGTCTTTATTTTTCAATATCACTTTTAACCTCTGCATATCTTCACTTTTGCTGAATTCTCAATAGGGCATGGCTCTTAAACAAGGAAGATAGAACAGAAATAGTTCTAGTTGGTATAAAGATATTTCAAGTGAAGCAGTAAATAGGTAGTATTCAAAAATTATTTGAAAGAGTTAAGAAAACAACATCTCTAATAAGTTGCAAGAAGGTTTTGAGATTAAAGGCAGCATGGTGTAGCGTATGGAGCATGAGATTTGAAGTCAGAAGACATAGATTCAAATAACATCTCAACTAGATGTGTGCACTTTAGCAAGTCACTTAAATACTCTGGGCCTCAATTTCTCAACTATAAAATGGGCATAATAGCCTTTTCTGTTAACCAATTCACAAGCTTCTATGATATATGATGTGATATAACTGGAAAAAAAAAAGGTAAGCCAGTCACTCAGCAGGAAAAGTATTGCCAGACTACTTACGTGCCCCATTTGTAGAGACATTATGTCAAAAGATCTAAAGGAAGGACTCAGAATGTTGAGTGAATCCCAAATGATGGACTTTTACAGTAAAATAAAAATAAAGTTCTACCAAAAACACATCATCTATTTTTTTTTGAAACACGGCAACTATCCATTTACACATCCTAGATGTTAGTTTGCCATGGCCACTAGGACTTTACATAGAAAAAGAAAAAAATTCTACCTATTTCCATAAAAGTAAGGAATTCTGAGATAACAGGTATCTTATACAGCCAAATGCTTAAGTTTGAAGAAAATGATCTCTGCTGACAGGGAAGCCAGTATGGTACCCAAAGTTTATCAATTAAAGAAGTTTTTCTGCTAACAAAATTTTGTATTAGGATAAGAATACTTTGTTTTATTTTTTAAAAACTCTAAATGGAATCCCATTTAAAATGCCCTAGGGAACTTGCTGTTATTCAAAGAAATACACATATGAATTCTTTTGTAGAGCAAAACCACTCCTGCATTCATCTTTTACATAAATCTATACTTTCAAAATCTTTAAGTTAACTAATCCAACCATCTGACAGTAGGGACAAGGAACAGAAAGCCCATAGAGGTTAAGTGACTTGTGCAAGAATCAGAAAAGACAGTTAGTGAGACTAGAACCCATGCATCCTAAATCCTTATCCAGTCTTATTTCCACTACACTACATAGACATATCTAAAGTATACCTATAAACTAATCAGGTAGGCCCTCCTTACTTGATATACTGCTTTAGAAATGAAATCTGTCAAAACTTTTAAAAGTTCTTAAATTCCAAAACACATTTATCTTGTTTTCATCTACCACATACACAAAACAAAGATAGAAGATAAATTACTTTTAACTTCAGAATCAGAATGGAGGAGTGAAGGCAGGAGACAATTAAGATAAGAAATGGATCAATTTATAGATAACATTAATAATACAATACTGTATTCTTATTGATTCTTTATTATCTTCATCCCTTCGGCTTATACAGTCATCATCAGCATACATATATTAAATTCTACTGTATACAGGTACTGGAAATAGAAAAAGAAATATAGTCCCAGCTCTCAAGAAGCATAAAATCTAGTTGCACAGCCTGAGTATAAATATAAAAAAGATAAATAGCAATATAAGATATCATATACCAATTGTCAAATGAGTATTTAGATACTAAGAGGGGTTTTTTTTGCACTTTAAAATAAACTATTTTCTTAATATTCTTAAGTAGTTTTCAGGAGTATTCTGTCACTTCAACTACTATAGATTTTAATTTCCTCAAGGTCTGAGGATAGTGTAGCTTTTTTTTTTTCTCAAGTACTTAGTATAATGTCAGGCACATATTAGGCACTTAATAAATGCTTGTTTCTGATTCATTTCACTCTCATTTGTTGTGTCTAACTGTAACCTCATTGGAGGTCTTCTTGGCAAAGAGAGTGCCATTTCCTTTTCCAGCTCATTTTACAGAAAAGTAAACTGAGGCAAACAGGGCTAAGTGACTTACCCAGGGTCCTACAGTTATTAAGTGTCCAAGGCCAATTTGACTCCAGGCCCAGTGGTCTCTATCCACTGCACCACCTAGCTACCCTTTCACTCCCATAGCACCTAATACATAGTACTCAGCACCAAGTAAACAATCATTAAATGTAGACAAATACCATATTATAGATATGTCAACACTAATGAGGACAGGTCCCACATCTAACTGAATTACTCTAGTGAAGGGGGTCTTACCTTTCTGGGTATCATGGGCCCCTTTGGCAATCTGGTAAAATCTATGGATCCCTTCTCAGAATGTTTTGTTGCCCACATTAATAAGTGAAATAAAAACTAAATTTCAATTAGAGGACAGTGAAAATAAATAGGTATTTTTTTTTACCGGCCAAGTTCTCTCATCCCCTGAAATCTATACACCAATCCCTTGAGGGCTAAGAACCCCTGTTTTAGCATCTTTTACAGTACCATATTCCATAGGCTGAAGATGAATAATTCTAGCATGTTAGATTTCAGTAATGTTTTTGACTACATTTTCTGACCAGTTGTCCTTTCAACCAGAGCTCAAGGTGAAGGCTCATTTTCTTTCCCATTAATGCTACTTATGAGTTCATTATAATTTACAACAGTCAAAAATATTTCTACAATATAAAATTAGGGTAACGATTCATGTGCTGCTGGTAAGGCAAAAAAAAAAAGCAGTTTTCATTTTGTACAAAACTAACATTGTTTGCAAGAAAAAAAAAAAACTGAGCAATTTGTTGAATACAAATAAGTGGGTTATTCTTTAGTCATTCGCCACAAAGCTTCTTGCTGACTTTTGCCATGGTAAATATCTGATGATCTTACCTCCACTCAAGTAACATTTGTAGCACACACCACCTATGTTTCATATGAAAATACTGAAGGACTAAAATACTGAAAGATAAAATCAATATACTTTTAAAACCTACAGTAGTCTTTTTGAAATACCATTTGTATTCATACACTAGGACTGATCGATACATTATTCATATAAGAGAACTGATAAATAGGACAAGCACTAAGATTAAATACAGGTTGACTTTAGAATTCAAAAGATTACAGAGTAATTAATTCAAGAAACACATCCTAGTCTAATAGTGACCCAAAGCAATTACAATGAAAAGTACCATAATTGGACTTTAATAGAAATGAGAGGGAAATATAGGCATCATTCTGTCACTACACCTGGCATTAAGTGAAATACTGATCTGAACACCTTGAACAAAGTGTCATAAAAAGAATCAGAAACTAACAAGCAGGGAGAGATAGCTAACTCTCTCACCTGTTGGGAAAAAGAAGGAACAATATGCTTATATTGTTTATTGTAATCCACCAAAAACCTAATGCATAGCTTCTGCAGCTACATAAGGAACAGCCCAGTACGCCACATGGGGAGCTCCATAGGCACTTAATAAACACCACCAGCATATACGCTAATAAAAATTACTGGTTACAATTATTTTGTGTTTCTGCAATTTGACCAGAGATTTAACTTCAAACTCATAAATTCAAACTGCCACTATTTAAGAATTGTTCCACTCGGATGTTTTTAAAAATGGAGATTCTCAGCAGATAAGAAAACTCAGTTGCCAGGACAAGTCCTTGACGAGTAACCACTGACATGAAGGAGTTTTAAGCAAGAAGCTTGAAGGCATTTACCCACTAAATCCTGCTGCTTTAATTGCCTTACACAGGTCTTATAATTTACAGAAGCTTAAAAGTCTTAGTTAAAATACTCAAGATCTAAGTATAGGGTTTTATTTTAATCGTAAACAAAATCAGGTCACTCCTTGGGACCAGTCTCCCTTTGCCTTATTAAAACTAGGGGGGGGAGGAGGAGGAGAAGGAGGAGGAGGAGGAAGAGAGTACCCATCCTCTTCTCTCTGGACCACACTACCTCGAGGTAGTTAACCACAAACACAGCCACAAACTGTTTTTGAAGAGACGCACTAAAATGCCTGGTGACAATTTAACTTTTTTTATTACTATTAAAAAATAGCCCTTTCACCCTAGATAAGATACTGTGACACAAAGCGTCACCACAGAGGAAAAATTACGAGGAACTCCCAACACATGCTCCCAACTACGGAAAACAAACACGCAGAAAAAGCGGAAGATACAGACATCTGAAACACTTTGGGGGCGTTTTAACGAGGGACTGCTCCCAAAAACTCCCGCCAAGGCACCTGACGCCAGGCCCTCGCCGCTCCTCCCCAAGACCACAGCTTTCTCCTGCCTCCGACCCCGTTCCTCGCTCCCTCCACCACTCCCCCGCGGGGCTCCGCCCTGGCCCCGCCCCCTCTCCCCCTCTCTCCTCCCACCCCCAGCGCCCGGCGCTCGGAACGCGCCGGGGCTAGCGTTTGCTCGCTCTCTCTCTTTCTCTCTCCCCCACCCCCGCCCCGAGCCCTCCCCCGCCTCCCGCCCGGACCCAACGGTGGCCCTCCGACCTGTGCTGCGCGGCTCTGTTTCTCCGCCGTCGCCGTCGTCGCCTCCCCCTTCTCCCCCTTTCCCTCTCCCCTCCCGGCCCAGCGTCGCGCGGCCTCCTCCTCCTCCTCCCCCCCCAGCCTCCCCGCAACGCGAGCCCCCGCCCCCCTAGCCTCCCCACAGCGCCCGAGCCGGCGGAGGGCGGGGTCACTCACCGGTCCGCAGCTCGTGTTTGACAGTTAAGAGCTGGTCCCCTCCGTCCGCGCTGGTCCCCGCGGCGCTGACACCGCCACCGCCGTCGCTGCGGCCGCCACCCTCCTCCATTTTCCCTTTCTCGATCTCACAGGGACGTTTACGTGGGGAACCTCAGGCGACACAGAACACCCAGAAAGCTGACAGCTCCAGCCGACGCCGCGTGTCAGCTCCAGGACTCGGACGGAGAGACCGGGCTCTTCCCGCTCTGTCCGTTCGACTCCCTCCTCTGCCTCCTCCCCCTAGCCGAGGGCACTGTGAGTACGGCGCAACCAAACTCACCCCGTCCCCTCCGCCTCCTCCCTCCAAGCCCAGTCCCCGGCTCCCCTCCCACCCAGCAAGGTAGGGAAACCGTTGGAACCACCGTCGCCCATTGGACTCTGGGCGCGCGCGTCCTCCGAGGCGAGCCCGTATTGGACCCTCGCACCAGACGCCCCGCCCTGCTCCTCGAATTGTTGCTTCGCGGGGAGGCGAGGGAGGGAGGACCTCCGTCACTTGGTAAGCGAGCAGCGAGATTCTTCCCCACTCTCGCCCCAGCCTCCTTTCCCCTGGTGCGCAGGCGTACCTACATCTTGCTCTTCCCCCCCCCGCCCATCACCCATCCCAGGCCACACCTCTCCACTTTCCCCACCCGGCTCTGTTAGTAAACATTCCCTCGGACAGTAATCCGGCGGCGTTCCGGTTTTGTGATTGGTCTTCTATTGGGGAGGGGCGGTGAAAACTGATTGGAGCCTATGGTCTGTCAATCACTGTAAGGCGGGAAGGAATAACAAAACCAGCACCCCTGGCTCACGTGTGTGTCGTCTTAGCAAAAAGGTATCAAATTCCTATGTCCTAAGTGAACTGCTGGAACAAGGTATTTCAAGGCTGAGGAGTGTTAACTTCTTTTAAGTAATCAGGCAAAGCGCCTGTCGCTGCGGTTAAGCGGTGTAAAACTGATCTTTGGCCTTAAGTCAGCTCAAAGTCCTAGTGCTCCTAAGTAAAAATTTTGAGCTCAGAGTGAGTAACATTATTTATTGAATTTTGAATGTTTGTTAAATGAGATCAAAAATAAAAAGATACAATAGAATTGGGCGTTGCCTACAAACTAGAAATAATTATTAGAAATATAATACTACTAGATACACTAGAATACTGCCTGTTATAGCTGTATTATTTCACAACAGACCAAAGGGTCAAATTTTGAAAAAATGTTAAGCCTGTCATCCTCCTTTGTGAGTTTTTTCAAAGTCCCTAACCCACAAACATGTATACCTGAAATTCAAGATTTGTGCATATGTTCAAACTGACCCAAGGAGCACTTTAGCTATATATAAAATATTAGGAATTTAAAATTTTATTTCACTATATGCTTATTTCTATCTCTTTAGGTAGGAGATATTATGATTACAACAAAGCTCACAAGTAAGTAAATTGGGAGACAAAAAGTTGTGCTGCACCCATGTTTTGTTCAACAAGTCACCCCATATAATTGTGACCCAATCTAGAATGGCCATCTGTTCTGTGACTTCTAGTCTTGTTCCTCATGCCCTATCAGTTCTGGTTCCTATGTGGTCAAGATTTGGTTTCCCTTCCTATAGGTCTCTTTCATTGTCCAAAGAGAAGTGACTTGGGCTTCACATATGCCAGAAGGATGTGGGTTAAACTCACTTTTCAAATAATAACTTTTCCCCAGTATGTTAACAGGAAGGCTTTTAACTATTTGATAACAGAAGGAAGAGGAAGACCTGAGTCTTTTCATAAAAAGAACAAGCGTAGGGTCCTGACATTGAAAGGATCATTGGAAGTTAGCACACAATTGGTTAGAGAAGAACAGTTCCAAAAGAATGATTACCAAAGAGCTAGTGTCATAAAAGCAATTCTCATTGTCAATATTCCAAAATTCCTTATGACACTGACAAATTATTAAGTACCTACAAAGACTAAAATGAACTAGTTCCTGCCCCTTCAGGAAGCTTAAATTTTATTTGAGAGGAGATAAAGGGAACTATACAAACCTACTTCATAATCTGCTGATCAAGTTATACACAAAAGTTATAGAGATAGGGGCAGGTAGGTGGCACAGTGGATAGAGCGCTGGGCATGGAGTCAGGAAGACCCGAATTCAAATCTGGCCTCAGACACTTATAGCTGGGCAAGTCACTTAACCCCAGTTGCCTCACAAAAACAAAACAAAAAAAAACACCCAAAAAAAAGGAAATTGAAAAGTTATGGAGAATCAGATGGCTATCAAACTAAAGACTACATACATACTTGGTCATCTTTGTTTCTTCTTGGTCACTCTGCCCCACCCCTCCTATTCCCATGTTCAATCAGTTGCCAACCCATTACCTAACAGAATGCCTTGGACATAATAAGTAGTTAACAAATGTGAGAATCAGAGAATATGGTTTATTTAAAGTTTTGCAAACCTTAAAGTATTACATGGCAATTATTGTTTTCAATGAATGAACGCTATTGGATTGTAGAAAACAGTCCAACTTTATGGCTATGAGATTTGGACCCATTTATCTGCCTCATTACTTGATTTCATGAATGCCACCCACAAGTTATACTTAAATGATGTAGAATTACCATAAATGATCATCTTGGATGCAACTTTCTAACACAGTTCCATTGGCGAAACTTGTTTTGAGGGTGGATTCTTAACTCACTACCATAAGGGCAATTGAAGTGAGACAACCAAGCAGAATGAGCAGAACAAATGGATGAGACCACCCTGAAACCCAGCTTCAAATAATGTGGCAGATTGTATGGCATATGCTGTAACAGAGGCTCAAAGGATATATAGTAATCAAAGGTGAGCCTCTGAGCTAAACCATCAGGCAGATAAATGTACAGAAGTGGCAATGACAGACCTTGGATATTAGCAGGTGCAATAGCACATAATGATTGAATGCTGAAAAAAGGACAGTAGAAATAGAAGTACAGAAAGAAAGAGGAATGAGTGTTTGGAATTAGAGAACGAGTTCAAATGTGGACTCTGCCACTTCTCTACCTGTTTAAACTTGGATAAGTCACAACCTCTTAGGGCCTTAGTTTCCTTAACATGAGTTGTAAACAAAGGTAAAAACAACATAATCCTAGTTCTAGTGTAGCAGGGGTTAAGACTTACCAAAAAAAACCTCTTATACAGGTCAGAATGTGATAAATACACAGAAGTCCAAAAGAAGGATGAAAGACTAGGTAGGGAAGTCTGAGAGTATCAGGGAAGTCTTGAAGTAGTGTCTGGACTGGATATTGAAGGAGGAGATGGATTTCAACAGGTAAAGATGGGGAGGAAGGAGAGTGAAAATGGAGATGTAATATACAAATGGATGGAAGTAGAAAAAGCATAATACAATTGGGGCAGCTTGGTGACACAGTGGGCAGAGTTCTAGGTCTGGAGTCAAGAAGAACTAAATTCAAAATTGGCCCCAGACACTTACCAGCTATGTGACCCCCAGAGCAAATCATTTAGCCACTGTTGCCTCAATTTTCTTATCTGTAAAATGGGGATAATAATAGCATCTACCTCCTAGGGTTGTTGTAAGGATCAAATGAGATAATATATGCAAAGTGCTTAGCACAGTGCCTGGCACATAGTAGGTACTATATAAATGTTAGGTAAGTAGTAGTAGTAGTAGCTGCAGTAGTAGTAGTAATACTAGTAGTAGTAGTAGTAATAATAGTAGTAGTTCATGGTTCAGATAGAGTAGAATGGAGAGTTAAAGGGAATAGTATGAGATAAGACTGGAAAAGTAAGTTTGAACAAAATTGTGGAGGACCTTGATTGTTAGGAGAAGAAACTTGTATTTATTCTATAAGCAATGAATGGGAGCCATTCCTTAAAAAGAATTTATTATAAATGCTAATGATCCAAACAAAAATGAGCAAACAAGCTAGATGAAAAATAAAAGCATAAACTCTAAACTTATTTAATTTTTTATCAAATAAAAATATACTTTTACAAAATAGCTTATTATTGTTCCAGTATCTTTTTCTTCTGTGTATTTATAAGGTTTTGTTGCTTATTTTTTATACAGTATTTACATTTTGTTCTGAATTGGTTTTCTTTTCTCTGTATCATTTCATATGTCTTCCCATATTTGTCTGGATTCTTTGTATTGATAAACTACATTTTATTCAGCTATTAGACAACTTCTGTACATAATAGATTGTTTAGTTTTTTCTATTACATTTTCAATTCAACAAGTTTTTATTAGACATCTACAATATTCCAGGCACTGTGCTAGGCACCAAAGATACAGTCAGGTATAAAACAGCCCCTGCTATCAAGGAACTTACATTCTATTGGGAGAGGAAGAAAGACACATACATAGAAAATTAAAAACAAAATTTCTGCAAAGTAATTTCCAAGAAAAGGGAAGTAGCTACAGGGAGCATTAGGATAGACTTCCTGTAGGAAGTGGCATTTGTGCTGATTTTTAAAGGAATCTAGGAATTCTCTGAAGCAGAGGTGGGTAGGGAGTACAATTCAAGCATGGAGGACTGCTTGTGTAGACAGAGAACCCATATTAAATGTTACACGCCCTGGAGTCAGAAGAACCTCAGTTCAAATCCAGCCTCAGACACATAATACTTTGTAGCTGTGTGCTTCTGGGCAAGTCACTTAACCCCAATTGCCTCACAAAAAAAAAAAAAAAGAATATCAATTTAACAACTGCAGGGAGAATGAATTGTTGAGTAGAGCTACTGGAAGCCAGGAGACCAATTAGGAAGTTACTGTAATAGTCCAGGAGAGTGGTAATATGAGGCTGAACTAGGTTGTGGCTATGTGAGTGGAGAGGAGGGAACAGATATGCAATCTAATGTGAAGGAAAAATTGACAACTTGGATGTGAGGGGTGAAGGAGAGTGAAGAATCTGAGACAGTTTGTATACCTAGGTGACTAGAAATATGGTGATGCCTTCCAGTGAAATAGAGAAGTTTGAAGCACAGGTTTTGGGGGCAAGATATTGAATTCTACCTTGGACTTGTCAAGTTTGAGATAAATTAATTAAAAATTATTTATAAAATGCTGTGCCAGGCACTGTGGATACAAATACAAGCAAGACAGACAGTCTCAGGCCTCAAAGAGCCTTTATTCTAATGGGGAAGACACCATAAGGGGGAGCTAGAAGTGGAGGGAGGTTGAAAATGGCCAAGAAGTGGCAAGGTGGCCTGGATGCTGGAAGACAAGGTGAAAGTTCAACTAGTAGAGCCCAGGATCCCAGAGGCAGAGTCCAAGACCGGATGGGAGGGGGATGAGGAGGGTGGTCAGAGTACAAGTGAATGGTTTGGAAGG